AGACTTTGCTACATGGCTAATTGTGCAAAACAGAAAAAGAGACTCCTATGTATAGAACAGACTTGTGGACTCTGGGAGAAGGCGAGGGTGGGATGTTTCAAGAGAACAGCATTGAAACACGTATATTATCTAGGGTGAAACAGTTCACCAGCCCAGGTTGGGTGCATGAGACAAGTGCTCGGGCCTGTTGCACTGGGAAGACCCAGAGGGATTGGGTGGAGAGGGAGGTGGGAGGGGGGACCGGGATGGGGAATACATGTAAAAAAAAAAAAAGATACACTATGGTTGTGATAAAAAAATAAATAAATAAATAAATAAATTTTAAAAAAAAAAAGAAAAAAAAAACTATTTCATTATTTTGATGAACATAGTGTATTCGCATATGTCCGTATAGAAAGATAGAATAAAAATATTTTTCCTCAAATAATGTGTTCTTTTAAAGACTCAGATCATCCAGGAAGTAACCCCACTTTCTGTTTTGCTTGGTCTGTATTCACTGTAGATTTACTCATCTCGAATCTGTTATTTCTGCTTGGGCATTCAGAAATATAAATGTGTTTCCTTCTGTTGTTGATCTCGCCCCGTGCTTTTCCCACTGCAGGTGTAACCCCCAACAATCTTGTTAAAAGCAAACTGATTCTAAAACATGCATGCACTTTACCATATTTTATGGTCCCCAGTGGAGACCACACCACCAACTTAAGTTGGTTCTGCTTTCATGCCACCCAGTGCTACTTGAGAAATATTGAAAAAAGTCATTTAATTTTACTGAAATTTCTTGCAGCTCAACTTAACTGGACCTTTTCCATTATTCAGTGAGTATTCTTCCCTAACTGAGTCACTGTAACATTTCCCACAATGGTTAATCCCAGTATTTTTCACTATCCTATTTCCCAGGATTGGAATCTCTTCATTCTCTGAAGATTACTTTGCCTCATACTTAGAAGACTACATTCATTTTATATTAGCTCCACTAGTGCCTCCCTTCTCTACGATAACCTTTCTCTAAATCCATCTATTTTATTTTTCTTCCTTTTTCCCTTTCCCATTTCTATACCCTTGATCCCATCTCCTTCTACCTCTTCAGAGACTTTTTCTATTGATTATCTCTTTTCTCTTAGGACCACAGTTTCCTTCTCTCCTCCCCAAATACTTCTAACAACAACAACAAGGCAAATCTTTAACTCTACTTCTTTCTCAAATACCCTTTATGCAAACCTTTTGAACGTGTACTTCTCTTCTTCTTGACCTAACCTTTCACTCCTAACAGCTTAGTTTTTATTCTTTATCACTCCATTGGAACTAAATTATCAAAAGTCACTGGCTCATAACCTACTGGCCACCACATTTTCCTACCTTCCTCAACCACCCATTGCTCCTGGGAGCATTTGACAGACTCGATGATACCAACTTTCTGGAACCAGAATTGTTTCCAGAATTGTGAATGGAGTCTTATGTCTCCATGCCCTGTTTCTTTAACCTTGAACTTGAACCTTTATCTCTTTAGGTTTCAATTTCCCCTGCTCAATCTCCTTATTGTAGATATTCTCCCAGGAATTTTTCTCCACTTACTGTCTATATATTCCTCTTCTGGAATTTTTATGGTTTTAAACCTCTTCTCTGTGCAAATAGCTCTGAATCCCACTAATCCTGAAGTATAGGCTTCTGTTTCTTATTTTGGCTGGGCTTATTCATGTTTAAATTCCACTAATACATCAAACTCAACAGTTCCAAGACAGAATCTCTTTTCTCTCCTTCCCCAACCTGTCTTTTCCAATTTCTCCCTTTCTGTAACTGACATCAGCATCTTCCCTGTCATCTAGAATAAAACATTGGTGTTTTCTTGGACCCATGATTTACTTGGGTTTCCCTGGTGGCTCAGTTGGTAAAGAATCCACCTGCAATGCGGGAGACCTGGGTTCAATCCCTGGGTTGGGAAGATCCCCTGAAGAAGGGAACAGGCTACCCACTCCAGTATTCTGGCCTGGAGAATTCCATGGACTATTCCATGGGGTCACAAAGAGTCAGATATGACTGAGAAACTTTCACTTCACTTCACAGAGCCATGAATGCTCAAGCTCTCATAGATATGCTGCCCTGTTTTTTCTTTTAGATACTTTACAGCCACGCAAACTTTCCTGAATTGAAGTTACAGGTTATTTCCCTGCCTCTCTGCTTCCTATCACTTACAAAACAAAATCCAGATCTTAGCATGGCATTCAAAGTTGTTCACGGCATGACTGCAGCCTACTTGTTTGGTTCTAGTTCTCAGTGCTAGACTGAGCATCAGGCAAACTGAATTATTCACTATTCTCCATAATCACTTCCAGATTTCTGTCCATGGGGCTTTGCTCATGCTGTCTTTGCTCAGCACCCAAAAGTTTTCTCCATCCTTTCCAGTCTTTTTTTTGAACTTTTATTTATTTATTTTTGGTTGCACTGGGTCTTTGTTACCGCTCAGGATTTCTCTAGTTGCGGCGAGCTGTGGCTACTCTTTGCTGCAGTGTACAGGCTTCTTGTTGCTGTCCGTTTTCTTGTTGTGGAGCATAGGCTTTAGGCACACAGGCTCCCCTGTTGCAGCATAAGGGCCTAGTAGTTGCAGCTCATGGGCTCTAGAGCACAGACTCAGCACCTGTGGCACATGAGCCTAGCTGCTCCACAGCATGTGGAATCTTCCTGGACCAGAGATCAAACCTGTATCCCTTGCATTGGTAGGCAGACTCCTATACACTGTACCACCAGGGAAGTCCCTTCCCAGTCCTTATCATCTAAATTTTGCTCATTCTTCAAATGCTACCTCCTTAAAGCTTTTCCTGATCTTCACAACTGGAAGATTTCCAACATTTCCAAACTCTGAATTTAATACATTTTAATAATATAGTAATACTATTTTCATTGGCTTAGTGTTTATATGAAAAAATTTCCCTTCCTTTTACTTGTAATCTGTTTGTGTCTTTATGTTTACAAAATGTGTTTCTTATAAACAATATATAATTGGGTGTTGCTTTGTTTTATCTAGTCTGTCAACCCATGCCTTTTACGTGTGTTCTTTGGTCCATTTATAGTTACTCCAATTATAGATATATGTATGTATATATGTATGTATGTGTATATATATATATATATATACACATACATACAAAGTGGTAGATTTTATTCTACATATATATATACATATAGAATATATATATATATACACATGTAAAATCTACATATATATGTAGAATAAAATATGTAGATTTACATGTGTGTATATATATATATATATATATATATATTCTACATGTATATATATATATGTAGAATAAAATCTACCACTTTGGAGTTTTAATCATATTTGTTCTTCCTGCCTTTTTTCTTTCCTTCTTTTTATTTTTATTTTTAGATCCTCTGTTCCTCTCATCTTATTTTTGTTTAGGTAATGGTTAACTCATCAATCCTTAAAAAAAAATTCTCTCTTCTCATTGATTTTTTTACTTATGCCTCTTGGCATGACTTTGTACTTTAGTGGTTATTATAGACACCAAAACACGCATCTTTAGCACATCACATTCTATGTTTAAAAAATTTAGAAAAATATCTAAGAATTCTATGACAATCTATTTCCAATTTTAGTCCCTATAATTTGTGTTCTTGTTTACTCTGACTTTACACAAAAGAGAATATAAATTCCATATTCTTTTATTATTTTTCTTTAAAGAGGCCATGGTCCAAAGCAATTTTGTCATATATATGTACAAAAATACACACACATATGTGTCATATATATGTATTTTGTCATATATATGTATAGTGTACTGCTTTTATTTGGGACTAGTACATGGCCTAATTCTCTAGCTTTACCATCACAGTTAGGCAGGCCCTATGTTCCTGAACTGGTGAGGGTTTCTCTCAATGTTCCTGCCTCTCTCCAGTGTTGGCCTGTTACCGCATTACTAGGTGTAAGACCCAGTGGGTGGGAAAGTGTATATAGATGGTACCTGTACGCTGCACGTCAGAAGAGTTCACACAGCTGTCCTGCCCTTATTTCTGTGGCAGACAACTGTCGTTTCTAACTCCTGTAAAGTTGGAGTGTGGAAGGTTTTCTTTTGTTTCTGCTGATCCACCCTTACTGAGGCAGTGTTTTTTGGTTCATCAGTTTACCTTGCAACTTTGAGTATCCAATGGCTCAAAAATTTCTGATTTGTTCTCATTATTGAGGTGGGAGAAGTGTTTCTTGTAATGTTCTATATCCTAGACAGAAGCAGAAACTCCCTATTGGGTTATATACGTAAATCTTCCTCAGATTTGGTTCTTCCAGAAACAAAGGTTAAGAAAGGACAGGTGATCCCAGGAACCTCAATCAAGTAGTGAAAGAAGAAACAGGGAAGAGAAGGAAGTGTGTTAATGAGTAACTGTGTTGCAATCCCACTGGGGACTTCTGGAGGAAACAGCCTAAGTGGGCAAGCTGAGTCTATCCACCAACTCCCATCTGTAATTGATTAGTTGTCCTGTCTCTAGGTGAAGTCTAAGCCAGATCAATAAAAGCAGAGAATCACAGGTGCAGCAGAAGCATTTTACATGAAGGAATGAGAGAGAGGCTACAGCAGTGTCCGTTAAAAACTCTGTGCCTATAAGGACATTTATTACTTTATTTCTCAGGCATATTGATGTACTGAGAAGACGATTCATACCTGATTTATCTTTGTATTCTCCCAGCATGGAGAATAGTCAGAAGACAATCAATCAGTATTTATTAAATGACAAAATACCTTTTATGAAGTACCAATATGTAAAATTCTGGCTAGTTCTTCATTTCCTATTCTCCTCCAAAAGCAACATCCTCACCCCCACCTCAGTCACTCAGACAATATATTTTTCTCTCAACTGCTAAAAAGGTTAACATCACCAGAATGTTTAGATTTTTTTTAATGTATTGATTTTTCTAGCTAATTTAAATATAGTATAACGGAAAGGTATAATTTCAAAACCTGCTAACAGGCATTTTGTATTACTTGCAGCCAACAATGATAAGACGTCCACCAACAGTTGTTTGCTATATTTGCGGTCGTGAATATGGAACAAAATCGATTGCCATTCATGAGCCACAATGTCTGAAAAAATGGCACAATGAGAACAACTTGTTGCCTAAAGAGCTAAGGAGACCAGAACCAAAGAAACCAGAAGTCAGGACCATTACTGGTAAGTTTTTGGAAAACAAAAGACTTGGCTGTATAAGGGAAGACTTTCCTCCCTAAACTTAAAAGAGTAGAGGTATTCTTTTGTTACTTGCTCAGGTAACTGACATCAGCAACCTTTACTGTCTTGGCCACAAGACAGTGGCCAATAGAAAAAACAGTTCGAAATGCCTGATCAAAGGGTTGTTTCCGGATGCTGAGACACAAAGACGCTGTATCCTGGCAAACCGTACAAGGAGAGGGACTCACTGAAAATTGCTGTATTTCTCAAAAGTTACATTCATATATCATCAAACACAATACTGTACAAATGTGAAGCTTCACCTTTGGGGACATCTAGAAACATGTTTTCAAAGATGAATGTGTCTTAGTGTTCAAAGAGCAGGGGTTCCAAAGTGAAATGCTTACAAGGTCCACTGGTCAGATTCTACAACTGAGCACATTTGTCCACGTGTGGAAAAAGGGAAGGTGGGAACCGTGGGGAACTGAGAGCACTGCCTCTCTCTAAAGGAGACGGCTGCTACCCAATTCCAGCTGGTGTTATCCTTAAGAAACTTAGCCTTAACTAACTTAACTTCACTGTGATGTATCTTTCAATAATACAAAAGAAACTGGAAATCTTGACTTCTATATGAAATGTCCAGATTTTAAAAATTTTGCAGTGAATACTTTGTAAAGCACTGCACAGGCCATATGAAACCTGAACTTAACAAACTGTCATGTGTGGCCTCATTACAGAGCCTTATACTTACTCATTTAGGGTGAGAATGAAGTAGTTCAGAGAATTTGCCATGCCAGCTCAGACTTGGTCATTGTCTACCATTGTCATTTTCTCCGTTGATCCCGGGATTCCTCTCAAAGGAAAACCATTCTTGGTTTTAAGAGAAGTATCATTCAGTTAATTGATTCTCTTTACATAACCACAGATTTACATATCCAGAAGGTACCTTGGAAGCCATTTATTACCAGTTAACTCAGAACACTCTTGTTAGACATGTGACCCAAAGAGAGTTTTCTAATAACCCAGACAGTAGAATCTAGATTGTCAGGATAAAGTCCTGGGCTACCAGAACTCAACGACTCAAAGTCCTTGCCAAAAGTTGAACTCTGCATGCAGGTGGGAAGAGAGCTTGAGATGAAAATATCCATCTATTGAAATTAGAACATTTGCTCACAAAGAGATGGTTTACCTCTTTGAGACTCTCCTCCCATCATTTCTCAACTGATAAAAAATCTGTTTCCTTCACTCCTGATCTTCATCACTTTCTCTGCTTGAGCAGAGTTATCACAATTCTAGAAAAGAAGAGAAACTACTGGTTTGAAAGCCCTGGAGAGTTCACCAATCTCTTGATTGGCTACAGATGGAAAAGCCAGGTCCTATAATTGCACTTTCTGCAATTTTCCTCTTGGCTCCATGCTACTGTTCTTAGGGCGCCCTTCCTCTCTGGGTGAAGAGAATTCCCACTACAAAGTAAAGGCACTAAAACTTTTAGAAATGTGATGACTCATCTTCAACTTTCCATGAATACTTGGGCATTTTGAGCCCATATTAAAACTCATGAGTAAAGAGAAAGTCAGTACCATTCTTTTTTTAACTGGTTTAAAGCACTCGAAATATACATTCATATCCTGCATAGATAGTGACACTTCTTTTATCCAAGGGAGAAATACTAGATGTTCCTGTTGTGCTGGAGTTTAATTTCCCATGGAGGATAAAAAGAAAAAGAACATTAGTAGATTTGTTAAAGAATCTAACATTGGCTACGTTTGTATGAACCATAAATAGAAAAATCATATGAGAACTGCCTGAGCTTTAGTGAAAAAAATATATGCTGTGAAAATATTTTTTTTTAAACTATGTGATACATTTTTGAGTGCCTGGCTACATTTGGGAGGGTGCGTTTTTGGGGAAATTCTAAGACATAGTCAATTTCATGTACCAAAGCCATTCTATTTAAATAAGTTTTATTAAAGTTAAATCCCACACTGTTTCTCTAAAATAAAGCCATATGCCCTTTTTCCTATGCTCTGTCAATGAAGATTATACATCTCTCAGCTGTCTTTGTTGCTTTCTTAAGGACACTTCTTTTTGTTAGCTTAACTATCCTGTTTGCATTCTTCACTTTAATTACTTAAAGAATCTCTGAGTTTATGGCCATAAAGAGATGATAAATTTTTAGGATATAATCTGTCTTAAATTCACTTTCAACTGTCAGTTGTGGCCTCTAAAAACATTCTGAAAGATTACAGAAGAGGAAAATAGAGACATGTTCTTTTTCTTTTGAAAGGTTATATTTAGAGTCAACTGAAAGAAAGCCAAAAGTTATATTTGCAAGATAATAATGTGTAAACAAAGATGTTAATAATTAGTGAAGAATGCATATCACAACACATAAAACAACGTCTTCCCCTTTTTAAAATTCAAGGACTGAAAAACCTCTGGTTCAGGGCTAACGGTTCTCAGCCCTTAAGACTGAGCAGCACTTTTTTTTTTTTTTTTTTTTGGCAAAAGTAATATAATTTGTTTAAAAGCCTCAGTCAACAGGTATTTCCTGAAAATACTTTCCATAAAAAGTAGAGTATGGTTCTCCAGAATGAAAACTGATCCATTTTCCCATTTTCTTTTTCTTTTCTTTCTTTGTTCTTTTTTTCCCCCCTCTGTTTTTCTTTAACTTTTCAGCCAAGGGTTTCTATGATCTCGATGCCTTAAACGAAGCTGCTTGGACAGGCGCCCAGAGCCAGTTGGTTCCCTGTAATATTTGTGGGCGTACCTTCCTGCCAGACAGACTGATTGTTCACCAACGATCCTGTAAACCAAAAGTCGCCAAGTAAAGCCCTTTCTCCCTACGAAAGAGTTACAGGCATTAAATCCTTGGGAAAGAGTTGGGGTATGGGGGAAGGAGGAGAGGTGGGGGTGGAGTCGGGGAAGAAGAACTGGAATTGACCACAGGCCGTGGAGCAGAGGACGCCCGGCTCCGGCGGCCTGCCGTGACCGCTGTGTCACCGCTTTGAACAAGCAGCCGCGTGCGTGTGCCTAGACACGCCGCGGGCCTCTCCGGAGACACGGGGATCGGGCAGAATGACACGTGGCCGCGCCTCTTCAGAGCTGGCATTTTTATCTCCAGGAAATCTCCGAGCCAGCTGTTGCCATTTTTTCTTCTGGTCTGTTTTCCCCGAACAAGATTCTGAACCTCACCGCTTAGGACTGTTATTCAGTGAACAGAGATTTTAGTGGGGGGTGACTTCAGGCAACTCTTCAGTCCCGAGCAAAACTGGCTTCCCTCCCATCCCTGAGCTCTCTGAAATAACGTGCCCCTCCCTGCTTTTTCTGATCCAGGGAAATGTTTTTAATCGACTCAGTGAGTGGAATAATTCTTTTCTGTACAAAGTTGTTCAACAGGAGCGATATATCAAAAAAAGAGCTAAGGGCTTAAAACACTAGAACCGTACAGTACTCTTACTCCCTCGGTGAGAAATGCTACAAGAAGATTCAGGATCGACACCGGCCTCGGGTGCTGGGAGATCGCTGTGTGTGATTCATCACCTGGTGGAAACCGGCTCCCTCCACCTAGCGAAGTCCAGCGAGAGTTCCTTTCCTCTGCCCTCCTCGGGCCTCAGAGGTGCTTTATTGTTGAGGTCTAAAAGCCTGCCAGCAAGTTCTGTGCCTCCCCACCCAGGGTCGATGCACAGAAAGTGGCTTGTGCAGCTGCTCTGGATTTGAGTCCTTGAATGTGTATTTAGAGAGGCGGAGCTCTCCTGGGAGGAGGCCAGTGCCTGGGAGGGGCTCTGCCCAGGAAATTCTGCTCCCCCGGGCCGCGCTGCTCTGCCCGGACTCCCAGCAGCTTTGCTTGATTTCTTTGTTCATTTAATGGCTGAATTTCAGGGCCATTCCGGATCCACCAGGTTCCTGCAACCCTTGCATTCATGACCTTACACAGCACAGTTAATTCCAAATTATACAAGCAAATTTATTTGACCTAATAATTTGGTCATACATCTGCCTATTGTAAACGAGGTTAGGAAAATTGTGCTAATTTTTCCGTTTTTCCTGCCTGTTCTGAAGGAAGCCAAAGATAAACTTTTTTTTTTTTAAGTGTTTTAGATATCCCCCAAAAGATTAGCATCTTGTAAAAGAGACCCTTCAATGACTTGTAGTTGATGCTTTAGTTCTTTTATTTTGTTAACAAAAATGACAATAACATCTAATGTGTAGAGCATGTACTGTGGATCAGGCAATGTATCTAGTGCTTTCTGTATATCACTTTATATAAATCTCACATCAACCCTTCAAGTAGATATAATCCTTATTTTATACATGAGAAAACTGATACTTAGACTAAAATAGCCAACTCAAGGTCACACTGAACTTGAGTTAAGGGTTGGAGTTAGGAAGCAGACTTGAGACTGCTGGACCTCCAAATCCAAAATCTTATCCATTGCCATTTGTGTGCCACATGCCACCGTTAATAAGATTAACTATTCCAACACAAATGATCTGACACATGGAGAAAGTTTTGTACAATGTTTAGGAACTAAGGGAATTAGGATGTTTGCAGTTCAGCTGCTAGTCTGGATTTATCTTAAACCGAGGTGAAAACAGTTTGCAGAATTCAGAGTGCATTTTGAATTGCATTGTATTCCAAAAGCCACTTCTGCATTCTGCAAATAATGTTCAGAAGTCAGAGAGCAAGGGAAATAAAGGAAGAGTTCTGGCCCCAACTTTAAAATGAGTGGCCACTGGGGTCATAAAGGTCCTTGGGCCCTTTGCTTTCAAAAGCATGAAAAAAACAAAACAAAACTACTTCATCTGTAGGAATTATTAAATCTGAGTTCTTGAAGTGGTTGAAAGAAATGAGCTCTTATAGGAAGCACTGCTCCCACAAGGAAAAGCTTGAGAACATTAAAGTGCTGACCAAGGAGCTTCCACCTGCTCCACCTGAGCTGGCCTGCAAATGTTGCAGGGTATCAAATGTGGAGAAAGCTGACATCAATCCAAGGGTTCCCGTCTTTCACCAAGTCACATCACTGAAGTCTCGCCATCAACAGGAAAGAGCTCACCTGCTCTTTGCCATCTGCCCTTCCCCCAATTCATTCACAGCTGTGCAGATACTTGTACTCAAAGAGAAATGATCTCTTTAACAATGGTTGGCACATCCATGAACTGTGAATTTGAACCTTGAAATGGTTCCCATAGACAGTCCCCTTGCTGATGAAGAGCAGATACTAGATGAAGGTCCTTGGAGCTCTTACGCTGGCTCAGGCAGTTATTGGTCTGGGATGCTGGGATGTAATGTTTTTCCGGGCATCGATAACAATACAGTTCCCTTTCAGCTCTGGCAACTGGTGCCGCACAATCTCTAATTGAATTCCCCTCTAGTTGAGCTTATGGGAAGAATTCCAAGATTTCTTGATGCTCACTTGTACACTGAACCCACATTAGTATTGCAGGGCATGTATTATCAGACGGGAACCCTGGAGATGGAACAAGCCTGTTCTAGTAAGTGGTTTGAAGGGGGCAATGCTCCTCTGGTGAGTAAACATGGAGATCTGTTAGAGCTCTATCGTGGGACCTCCTCTTCAGGCAAACTTGGAAGTATTTCCCAGTGGGGTCCCAGTATCTCCAAGGTAGCCTCCAGATAACACAAGATGACATCAGCCTGGGGAATATTGGCCTGAGTCTCAGAAAAAGAAGCTGCGACCAACAGGCAGACCCATTTGTTAGCAGGGAAGAGAAAGAGGGCAAATATCCAAAGTCTTCCTTCGCCTAAAAACCTGAAAACAGCCCTTGGTCTCTCTGAACTTCTCTGCTTCTGACATTAGCAGTGTTTCTTCTTTACACCCCATCTAAACCAACTCATATGGCTTTAATCCCACACCAGGCCAGGCCAGGAAGTTCAGCCCTTTCCTTCCTCAACCCTGAGGGGCCCCTTCCCTTGCTCTGGCGATGGTCCACCCTCCTTTATCATTTATTACTTCCCTCCTGACTCTGTCTGGCCCACATGAGCGGCTGTGCCTGTTTCTGCTGGCCCTGCCCACTCTCTGTGAGCCCTGTGGCCAGAGATGGAAATGAGGTTTTCCTGCACTTGGAAGAAACAGCACACATGAAAAGCAGTTGAGGTTCCAGTGGGGGTCAAATTGGGTAGAGAGAATTACACCAGGAAAAGCACTGCTAATTTAGCATAGGACAGTACAGTTTTATGCTTAGTTCTTTTAAATTTTTATTATGAAAATATTCAATAGATAACACTTGCAGGGAAAAGTATAATGAAGTCTTCTATCCTCCACACCCAGGTAAACTTAGTTGAAAACCTGCTAAGATTGAATCCGAATGGTCTACGTTTAAACTACTGTTCTTTTGGATGTGTGGTGGGGAGAGGTGCTGGGAACACAAGATTCCGGAGTGCCTCTGATAATGCCTTTTAATTCTACTTCCGGAAATATGAGATTAAACCCACATGGCTAGAAAGCAACCACAAGTGAAAAAGTGAAACCTGGCCTAGACATCACGAGGGCTAGGTCCCATCATTGATTCACATTGATCACCTATAGACCAATGTTTTTCAGGTGATACTTAAATGAGTGTGTTTTCAGCAAAATAATGGCCCCAAAGATGTTGGCCCCTAGTCCTCCAAACTTACGAATATATTACCTTACATGTTATATTACCTTTGCAGATATAGTTAAGGTTATGCACCTCATCATGGGGTGAGTATCTTGGATTATCTGGATGGGCCCAATATTATCATGTCATTAATAGTAGGATAAGAAAGAAAGAGGATAAGAGAGATGACAGCATAAGAAGGATCCAACACCCTGTGGCTTATTCTGAGATGTGGGGAGCTATTGCAGTGACCAGAGAGAAGCCTCTCCAAGTTAAGGGTAGCCCCAGCAGGCAGCCAGCAAAGAAACTGGAACCTCTGTCCTATAACCACAGGAAGTGGATTCTGCCAACAACCTGAATGAGCAAGAAGACAGTTTCTCCCCTGGAGCCTTCAACAAGGAACACAGTCCCACCAACAATGTGTTTTTATCTGGTGAGTCCAAGGTTGAATGTCTGACCTACAAAAGTGTAAGAAAATAAATGTGTGTGGCTTAATACATTAAGTTTGTAATCTATTATGGCAGCAGGCAGACCTCAGAGATATTTATTGTGCATTTGGTTCCAGACCACCACAATAAAGTGACTATCACAATAAAGCAAATTACAGAAATTTTTTGGTTTTTTTCAATAGAAAAATTTGTTTACATTGTAGTCTGTAAGTGTACAGTAGTATATCTAAAAAAGTAATGTACGTATTTGATATTTTTTTAAATACCCAAATGCCAAAACAACTACAAAAAAAAAACATCAATGATCATTGGTCACAGATCACTATAACAAGTATAATAATAATTTTTAAAAGTTTGAAATAATGCAAAAATTACCAAAATTCGACACAGACATGAAGTGAGCAAACACTGTTGGAAAAATGGCAACAGTAGACTTGTGTGACGCAGGGTTGACACAAGCTCTTAACTTGTAAAACAAAACAAAAATGAAATATCTGAGAAGTAAAATAGGCAAAGCACGCTAAAACAAGGTGTTCTTGTATGTGACATAGGGTAGGACTCCCAAATCTTGAGGAGTCCTTAAATTCATGCAAGACACTGGCCGTCTCCACTATTTGCATTAGTGAGAGGGCCCTGTAACCAAAGCCAGTAGGGTCAGAGAGCCCAACGAAAACTGGCTCCAAGATTTGTCACTACTGAAATACACAGCTATTTCACAACATGCTCGAAATCTGGATGCCAATTTTTAATGTTCTGTTAATATTTTAAATCATAAAAGTGAC